AAAAAAAAAACATACTCAGACGAGGATCAAACCCAGATCGGTGGCGTCGAAAGTTATTGTGCTAACTGCTGGACCACAACAGTTGTATAGTGAGAGGTGACACATCTGAGTTATATAATCATTATGAAAATAGCACAGCTGCGCTTATATAATGATTAAGAAGACTGTGGTCAAGTAAATAAATTAATTAATTTAAAAAGTGTGACTGCTGAGAGCAACAGATTCTGGAGCTAGGGACACCGGCCCTCGCGGCCAAAAAATGGACCGGCCCAGAGGGAATTCTCCCGGTCCTCCCGATTAGTCAATCCGGGCCTGGACTCAAGCAACTTTGCCATGCTTGATGCTAGAATATAGCCTAATTAAAGTTAGTCTGTGTATGTGGTTAACACAAACTGCGGTCCACTTAAGATGAGATCTTAAATCTGCACGTATGAATATATAAATCACGTATGAATTGGTCAAGCATTGTATTTATGCACGTAATCATTCACTTTTCTGACACACGTACTGTAAAAAAACGAGCTCTCATTTCTAATGTAAATATGTCATTGCAAATCATTCATTTTAAAATACAAGTTAATGTTTAGATTTCAAAGATAAACTAATATGTCATGTGTACATGCAACATGTTTCAAAATTTATCAAAATGGTTTTATATTTGAATATGGTGACATATAGCCAATATTTATGAGGTCCAAGCAACATTTCCAGGTTTGATAAATAGGTTACTATTTGTTAATACTTTAATACAGCAGTTTTATTTTTATTTTAAGAACAGTAGCCTACCATTTTCACTTTTAAAAGCACACTTTAAACACTGACTTTTTAAATTTATTTATTTTCTATTTTTACCTGTAAGCACATACAATGCTATAATGTTAATGTTGTTTTTGGGGATTTAGGGGTACAAAAATAGAATTGGGATTGGGCCTAAGTCCCTTTAATAATCAGGAATTGCCACAGCAGAATAAACCACCAACTTATCCTGCATGTTTTACACAGCGGATGCCTTTCCAGCTGCAACCCATCACTGGGAAACATCCATACACATACGCTATGGCCAATTTAGTTCAATTCACCCATATTGCATGTCTTTGGACTGTGGGGGGAAACCGGAGCACCCGGAGGAAACCCACGCAAAGACTGGGAGAACATGCAAATGGTTCCAGATAGGACTAGAACCAGTGACCTTCTTTCTGTGCGGTGACAGTGCTAACCACTGAGCCACCGTGTCGCCTTTTTGAGAAAATTATTATCCTATAAAACGACATATATGGGGCAATTTCCAACAACTTCAATAAGCTATGTGATGAATTTTAAGGAATATTACCTCATCTAATTTCTCTCTTTTTCCGTCCTTGGACTTTTTGCCCCACAAGCATTTTGGCCTCAATTCTCTGCAAAGAAATACGATAGTGTGCACTTTTTGGTTTGCACCTGATAGCAGAACCCCTTTGTGCACCCAGAGGACACATTGCATCATGTCTCATATACTTCATCGATGGTCTCATTGTGCTCCGAAACTCCATTATACTGCCTGGAAGTTTGAGTATGTCATGCCACAGGCTGGTCTTACATCAGCTAGATGGCAGACAAACAGTCAAGAGTATGAGAAACGCCAGTTCAGCAGATCCAACTGACGGCCTTCTTTTCCTGTATAGTTTCCCCAGCATCCCTAATTAGGGTGCGAAAAGGAGAACGAGAGACGAATGTCAGATTATGTGGCAGGAAATACAGTGGAACTGTTGACAAACATGCATCTGATAGCAAGCTCATATCAGCTGTATCTACTGTCATGTTTTATCACAGCGACGCTATTATTATGGATTGATCAGTGTTAAAGGTCAGCTTGTCTTCTCGTCTGACCAGCACCAAGATGCATGATGTTCAAAGAGCAGCTTGTACAGTTCTGTGGCTATTAGATAACTGACAATCAAAGGTGAAATGTGAGATGCTTCATGGTTGAGCAGAACATGCAAAGTCAATATGGCCCTAATGCTTCAGCCAAAGCGGTCAACAAAAATTTGTTTTGGCCTCAGCAGTGGCTATAATTAGAACATCCTCAGATTCCAAAGAACCCAAGTACATATGTATTTATTTGTTGAGGATAAATCAAATAATTGACCTTTTTTAGTGGTACAACTGCTTAACTGAATGTTTACATGCTCAGGCTTGCATTTATAATACTGCATGATAATGCGTAGTCATGTAGGCTAAATACATTTTCTTTTATCATCAAGAAAAGATTTTATTAACCTGAATAAAAAGCTAAACCTGATTTTGCCCTCTAAAAATGCTGGGTTATCATCAGTGTTGGGGAAAGTTACTTTTGAAAGTAATGCATTACAATATTTAGTTACTCCCCAAAAAGTAACTAGTTATGGTACATAGTTACTTTTCATGGTAAGTAATGCGTTATGTTAGTTTTGAATTACTATTGCGTTACTTTTTATTACCTGGCTGAGGCTTGATCTCTTTCAGAACTTGTTTTTTTAATAGAGGAGCTCTGCAAATCGCCGATGGTGGGTAGACATCACAATGCTGAGCCGGCATCGTGACTCTCTGCCCCAAAAATCACTCTGCCTATTCATGCCAGAGTCCTGCGGAAAAATAAGTGACTGACCGGTGGTAATTTCTGTGTATCTTATCTTAATTTATTTATAATTTGATTACTTATGGGTAAAACAAAGACCATGCAGGTCAGGTAGTTGAAATGGTATAGGCTACAAATAATTAATTTGTTAGGAATTAATTAATATTACACATTAGACATCGTTCGATGCCAAATTGGTCGACATCAACCAACCCTAATTGAAAGTTTAAAGCAATGTGTTTACTTTTGTACCATTTGTCCTAAGTAAAATCACTGTTCATTTAGACAATCCCCTTTTCCTTTTCTTCGAGGCGTTCAAAATAATGAACACATTATCTCACTGACTGCGTAATTCATTGTGACTACTTTAATTTTAATACAGATTTTTTTTTAAAAGCTAAATGATTAACTCGTTACATTTTTAAAAAGTAACAATATCATCACTTGTTTGTTTTTTTTGCTTGTTTGTTTTAAGTATTGCATTACTTGTTACTTAGTAAAGTAATAATATTACATAACTCGCATTACTTGTAATGCGTTACCCCCAACACTGGTTATCAAAACCCGACATCAAATGAACGTTACTTAAAAAGTGTCATTTAAATTTATTAGAAAATCTCTGGGTTATTTTTCTATTAAATTTAAATGACAATTGTTAACCAGACATTCAGATTGCCCAAATTTGACCCAATAATGGCTTACGACAATCTAACAATTGTGTTTTATCAATGTAAAGATCTCTACCGGTTTAAGCCAAACCTTATTGTCATCCATTTATGGTTTGTTGGTGACAACATGCACACTCTCATTACATTTTGATTACTTTTGTTTGTTTGTTTTACTTTTTTATATTGTATTAGTCGATTACAACCCAAAAACAAATGCAGTTTTCATCTCAAAACATTACAAAAACAAAACAAAACCTAATTTTAGTGCATTTTTGTTTTGGTGTCAAATCTTGACACTTATAATTGGCTACAATTTGTATTTTGGTTCAAACTTTGCTTTTTGACACTTACATACAATATCTTGACCAGTTCAAGGAAAACCTGATTTATCTAATCATCGTTTAGCACAGGTGTGGGCAAACCTGATCCTGGAGGGCCAGTGTCCTGCATAGTTTAGCTCCAACCCTATTCAAACAGACCTCCCTATAGAGTTCAAGTGATCTTGAAGACACTGATTAGTTTGTTCAGGTGTGTTTGACTAGTGTTGGAACAAAACTCTGCAAGGACACCGGCCCTCCAGGATCAAGTTTGCCCATCCTTGGTTTAGCATCAAAACTAAACTAAACATATTTTGTCTTGCGCACAGATTTCTATATAATTTGTTTACATTTGACATTTTGTTTACTGTAAAGATCTTTAACAATTCAGGTGAAATATTTATTGGATTACAGGACTTTACCGTGAAATTTTTGCTTGATTCAGCAGTCTTAGGCAAATCTAAACTCTTTTATTGACATTTATAAATCCCCCACAAAACATGTTACTAGCCTAAAACAAGACCTCAGGCATTGGGAAATGAATCCTTTAGTTTTGAAGACTCAACATTAGTCTCTTGAGGGGTATTAAGCCAGTGTGGGCTGCTTAGATTAGAGACGTCCGTCATTAAGTGCAGCTCAAGCAGTGACTCAGCAGCACCAATCGGAAAAATGCACTGCAGGTGCTCAGCTCTTTCAGACGTTGCCAGGTCTTAATTTAATGTGCCTGATCCCTCTGCGGACCTCAGCAGCAGCTGCGCGCGCCAACACAGCCTAGTGTTTGCTGAGCTCAATAAGACAAGCGCACTAGACGTACTGTATAGTGATATTTCGCAAGGACATCCTGGAAGGGAATGATTCATTGTTAATCATGAGTTTTAGTGTTACTAATAAATCACACATTTGAGTAAACAGTTGCATTTATAAAATGTTTATTTTAGGGACCATAGAAAAAAATACACGACAACTTTTTCCTTCTAGACATTTAACAACAGTAACTATGACGCAATCTCCAGGAATCTCTCAACATCCGTAGGATCTATCATGCGATTCCATCATCGATTGGGAAGTCATGATGTACCAGCGGCTGTTGAGCGCAGAACTGTGCACTTTTTATTACATAATTAGGGGTTTTAATTCTGACTCCAGCCCGTTAGAAGCAACACTATTACAACTGCCAAAACGGTCCATGAAATATCTTTTGCATATCTTTTGAAGTGTTTGCTTATTTAAATAAGTCGCATTAAATTTCAAAAGCTAGTATCCAGGTTGTGCAAACAATATCAAGGGATGTTAGCAGGGGAATTAAGGGTGCTTATGAACCGGCATCGAGCACTAGTCTTTTTCGATCCGGGGAATTAAAGATGCATGGAAACCACGAGGGGCCCATTTGGCTTCAACCCCTGCTGCACCCTTGTGATTTTTTTTTTTTTTTTTTTTTTTGCGGTCCAACGGCGTTGTAAACTTCAGTTCGTCTCAATTCCCACAGCCACCAATTCCAATTTCTTGTTTGTACCTGTTTGTTAAAGTGTTCGCTTTTCTAGTGAGCTTCGCCAGTACTGTGTGTAGTCCGCTTAGATGATAATGAAACAGCTTTTCCAAGTCCTTATCGTTTGGTTCGATGCGAGACACCTCCAGGGATGTCGTCGTCACGCCATGTTTCTCCTTACGCCTCTCTTCGGCTTGAAGTACACCCCATTCAATATCATTCCTGATTGATTTGAGGAGCACATAAGAGCCATACATGTCTCCATCCTGGAAAGAGGTTACCTCTTTCTCCTCTTCCTGATCCAACGGGACGTCCCTCAGCAAACTTGGCACCATGACCGTCTGGTCCATGTTGTTCACGGCGCCGATAAACCGGTTCATGGCATTGAAGAGAGAGTTTTTTTGGTTGTAGGAGTCGCAGATTTGCATCATCTTTGCTGTCCTATTGACCTGGAGGGCTTAAATGCAGAACAAAGCTTTCGTTAAACGCAGCCGTTTTTCTTGAGCTGGGTGGTCCAGATAGCTTAAACAGAAGGTTTATCCGCTATTATTTGTGTCCAGACAGTGCTCGGATCCCTGTGCGCTTCAGTAGAGTAAGTTTCTGAAAGCGCAGGTGGATTTAAAGCATGGGTGTGGCTTCAATACGTCAATCAAACGTGTAACCAGGTCGTAACCGGATAATGTGACCTGAAATAACAGAAGCATGATAGATTAGACGGGAAGCACACAATATTACATAATCAAGATGAATATCAGAGTGAAAATATCAATGAGGTAGAGTGGAAGAGAGATACAAAGATCAGACTTACTAATCACTAAATAACGTCTACTAAATGATTAGGAATTAAATTGTTGTACTATTTTTAATATTACAGTCGGTTTACATTGACATGTGCCTTAAGAATACATCATGAACGCGCATCATTCGCTTCCTACCACTCCTTGCTAAAGGAAAGCCGGCCGGCAAACTAACCGTCTATCGAATTTAAGAAACAACACAGGCTTCTCAAAACCCACCTTTTCTGGTATTTGACCTCTGTTAAATCCTGAAATGCCCGGCAAAGTCCAAGAAAACCGGCGATAAAGTCGCTGATAGATAACAGACTCGTCTAGCAACGGCGCGAGGGTGAGGCCGCATGTAGCTCTCCGGCACTTATGAATATTCATGAGCGAGGCATCAGCCCACAACCGCTCAGCCGCTCTGCACCAATCAGAGGCCAGTCGCTGAGTTCATCCAGGAGGACGGCGCCTTTCAACAGCCAATCAGAGGGCACAATGGGAGTCTGGCACCGTGCCAAGGCTGCAGCTCACGGTCAAAGACACGACAGTGTGAGAGAGAGAGAGGGGTAGTCTATGAGGGAACTACCGGACTGATGAAAGCACCTCGAGCATTGCGTGTTGACTGCATATTTATAACCTCGGAAGTTCTGCGTTCATTATATTTCACATTTTATAGCCTATATTGTGTTTAGACTTAATATTTACAGCAGATATAAACTATTCGAAGATTTCTGGTGCTTTTTGACGTCTACTCGCTTTACGCGAGCTATGGAAAACAAATTAGACCACTTGACCATTCTCACTGGCTGTTGATCTAGTTGCATTTGATTAAAATGGAGCCGAAACATTGATAATATTCCTATTATTTAGATATTAATTGTAGATCTAATATCTACAATTAGAAATTTTACTATTACTTTCAAAATATTTGCAAAAAAAATCATGTTTTCAGATTTCTATTAGTTTTTAGACTAAGGGGGTGGGCCACTCACAACACAAAAACACAAAAGATTGATTCATTTTCACTATTTTTTTCTCTTTTGTGTATTGTTTCTAGCATGATAACTGAATATCTATTTAATTTTGTCGTGTTCATTTTTTATACATTATCAATATATATTTACTTACATTTCCCCTTATATTTGGTGGAATAACCGTGATTTTGACCACATTGTATAACATGTAATAGTAAAAAAATGCTGTAAATTACCATATTTTATCGGAATTTTAGAAGAAATGTTTTAGACATTCATAGAATAAAACAAATATTAACATCTTTTTCAGACTCACCCAATGAATCCTGGAAAAGCCAGAGAAAGCGACAGTTTCAGGTGGTCCCCCCTTTGATATTTCAAATGAATGAATGCTCAAAGGTAAAACACGAGGAGACTTGTGTATGCAAAGCTTTCACAGATCAGTGGAACTATGCAAATGTAAACTTGCATGTATTATGTAATATGTATAATGACTCTAGGGAAAAGGGTGAAAGTCAAAAATCAAAGAAAAAACACCACCATGCATAAAAAGTATTTTTAGGCTGTTGCTTTGAGTAATAGATACCCTACGAAAAGAACTATATTTTACTTCAAATAATACAAAATAATAAGCTAGTTTAAAACTCAACTTAGAGAGATTGTTGGTTTCAATTTAAGATGTTGAGTTTTACTAATATATATTGTGAAACTCAACATCTTAAGTTAAATTAACGAATCTCTCACAACACAACACAAACACAAGTTCACCAGCTGCCTTGAAGATGTAAGTTTAACCAAGTAAGAAGTTTTACAGTGAGCTACATGGTTATTAAAACTGCATAAATGACGATTAATCATAAGAAAACATGCTAGCCTAAACTAATTTTGGCAGCCCTGTTATAATAAAAATATAGTTTGTTTTGTAAAATAGCCAAATAAGTACATTCATGTATTCATTTTCTTATCAGCTTAGTCCCTTTATTAATCCGGGGTCGCCACAGCGGAAGGAACCGCCAACTTATCCAGCAAATTTTTATTCAGCGTATGCCCTTCCAGCCACAACCCATCTCTGGAAAACATGATTTCTGATGTCAGACATTATAAGACATGTTAAATATGTTAAAAGGCTTTTTTGAGGAGGCATTATATTGATAATATATGTTCTACTCACTGTCCAAAAGTCATCTATTACACTGACAGACGTGATATAGACATTATATGCACGTTCGTCAGAGGTCTAATGGGGTAAAAATCCGTTTTTGCATCATTATTTGCATGGGATTTCCCCATTCACGCAGTAGACGGAGGTCTCCGGTCGATGAAGCTGTTGCTCAGTTACGTTTTTCAGCGACATCGTGGTGCCATCCAGCGGCCAGGAAGCGAACAAACCTCCTGTTTTCAATCCCAGGACAAAATTATTTTAACACGATCCTGTGAGGAATCCATTCATCCAGTTCAAGCCGTGACTCAAACTTTAAATGAAGACAAACAGACACGGGTAACGACGAAGAACCATTTTATTCATAGAGATCACGGATGTTTACAATATCAACGTACATTTTGTTGGCATGCTAGCTGGTGATGCATTTTAAAAAGTGTTTATTTTTATTATACAAAGTAGCCTACATTATTTCTCTGGAGATGTGTAGTTCATCACTATGAATTCTGGATTCTAATACTTAATTGATGATCAATCAACACAAGGGGCAGCTTCAGAAATGATCGTTTAACATATTAACTAGCTAAGGCTGAATGATAACAAAATGGCCAATGAGAAAACCATACAAAACAACATGAAATTAGATTAAAAAGAGAAAACAGTGACACATGAAAATAACAGTACTGCATGGTAGACTCGAAACAAAACGAAAGCCAAAGACTGCAGCAATTTTGACCACATAAGTTATGTTTTAATAAATAATAAATAAACAGCGGAGGTGTCTAAAGTTTGGCTCAGTCTTTAATACTTCTAAATCAACAAAACATTTTATTAAGCAAAAACAAACTGAGGTAAAGATGTTTCAAGAAATTATTTGACTCAAACCTCTAGAAAAATTTATTTATTTCACTTTATATATTAGATTTTGAATCAAAATGTTTTAAACTAGACAAACTAGCAAGGATTTAGCAAGTCTAACATCTCATATTTTCTTAAAAACAACATAGAATCCTTAGAAACATCCTTCATCATACCAAAATTCTCATCATTTTCATGTTTTCCTCATGCAAATATTCATTCCTCTTGAAATTATCTGGACATTCTTGGAGCTGTTAAACATGATCATCCTCAATTCTGAAAGAGACGTTCAGTTTGATTACATTCTTACATTAAAACACCACGAAATAACAGTGTCACAAGGTAGATATAGTGTAAAACTGTAACTACCACCTATTAACTGTTGAATTAGCCATAAAGTTGTCTGTTAAACAGTGTTTAGTTAGTACTCTGAAATATCTGCTTGTCTTACAACAACAACAACAACAACAACATAAAAGCCTAATGTTTTTCACATTTACACTCCAGTCGGCATCTACTTGAGGTCTGTACAAGCCTATACAGTTTGTGGCAGAAAATTGCTTGTTTTTTGGCTTTCCAGTGAAACTACATTGATGTTTTTGACTCGGCACATGAACACGTCAAGTCACTTTCAACCCGAAGCGAAAAAAATTAAATGAAATTATATTTTAAAGCCGTTTCTGAGATGAACCCCTTTGCCATAGATTTTACAACAGCAGCAACAACAACAACGAAAACATCTTGCCATTTGTTTGTATTTTTAATAGTTTTTTCTCTCCAAAAATCAAGTAACTAACAAAGTCACTTGTTTAGGGGTTAAGTAACACCATGTCCTAACAAGATGTGCAAAGTTTTGAATGTAAATAAGTAAAAGTACTGCAAAACTTAGCACAAAATAGCCAATTAGAACATCCAGTTTGTAACAATATACAGCTATCTGGACCAATGAGATTTCACTGTGGGCGGAGCTACTAATTGCAACCTGACCAATAGTAACTAAGCTCACAAAATGGTGGATAGTAAAGAAAAACAGACTTTTCTCCAAAAAAAGTATATTATATAAACAGCGAACAAGTCACACGTCACGCTTATGTCCTAATAAAGTACTGAGTGATTTTTGTGTCTGAAATAGAAAATCCTATGCAAAGGCAACAAAACCACCGATA